GTATTTCGTGCAACGTAGCGGGCGGGGTTGCATTTTGTACTTTATCACAAACTAATACAGTTCAATCTCGTTTCCGCTTTAATGTAGTTGTTGTTGTTTTGCCGCCAAATTGTGTCCTGTTTTGTGGTGTTGTTTTGATAATATATTTTCGTTTTTCGTCCGTAATGTCTACCTCGAGTTATTTACAGATAATTATAATTATCAGAAAATTTAATAGTTTTCTTTTTATTTTTATTTTCGAGCTAAGTACTTTTATTTTTTTACAAAAATTTCTAAAAATAATAAAGTGTACTAAATTCGTCATCTTTCGGTAGTATAGTTACCATCGTTCGAAAGTTATAGAAAATATAATTACTAAACAAGTAAATAAATCTTTAAAGGAGCTTTAAATTATTTTACTCTGTCATGTCCATGACTAGTCATGTCTCTTTTAGAGATATGACCAATTAAACTACGTTTTTAGTTTCACTATCCTTAAATTTTAACCACAAACCTAATTAAGAATACAATTTCGGAGATCATTAAAATGTCCGTTTCGACACATTGTGGCTTTGTAATAGAACAAATATCATATGAATGTGTTTGGAATTAAGACTAATATTCTTCTAACATAAACTAATTTATTGACACCTGCTGTCTCTTCTCCTTTTACGCTATTAAAAGAAATATCTTTAAAATTCTTACTTTTTTAGCTTAGAAATTCTTTATAAGATAAAAGTTCTAATCCAATTCTATTTTGAGAAGCTGAAAACATCCGCATCTGGATATTTTCTCGTGTAATGAATATTCATGGATGGTGATCAATTGCAACTCTTACTCATACCTTATAAAAACAGTAGTTACTTACATGCTCTGAATTCGAAGGAAACAATTCGAAGGAAACAAAACAACAAAAATCACAAAAGCGTTGACAGCATCGGCCGTCCCTTTCTATTCCAATATTTTTAATTATTTCTTTGTAAAGGGCAACCACACAGCGTCGCTTTCGCCTTTCACTTGCGCCACGGCCCTAAACAAACAGCGCGGCGCCGACGCCTGAGATTATGAGAACGCCTGATTAATAACGAACTCGCGCCTATGCGATATCCGCAACTTATTGCCTAGATCAGCGAGCCTCGTGCGCTGCAATCGACAGAACATGCCCACACCAACACGCATAAACAAAAGAAACCATAACATTTATCTCTTTTACTATCCATCGCGTAAACGTACGATATAGCGCATATTCCGAAGAAAAGGTAAGATAATAGAGTCCAGACCTTGCGGGATCTACGTAAATAGCATATTTATGTTTTATCAAATGTTAACGAAAACCATCTAAAAATAAGAAAATTACAAAATTCCCAGATTTTGGAAGGAGGATATCAAGATTTGATACCTCTGATAATGTCAATACCTTAAGGGCTTATGTTTTTTTACATCACTATCTAACCATTTTCTTGAACACGAATTTATGTAATAGAAATTATTTTCACTGATTTAATGTAAAATGTAGTAAATTACCTACTCGTACATATAAGAAAGATCTAGAACATACATAATTATATTAATGAGCTTTGTTCAAGTATAATGCCGATCTGAAACAGGTTATTATTGTGAACAGAGACGAAGCAGCGCATATGGAATGGAGTGTGGCCCGGACTTGAGAGAATAAATCAGTGCACGCGCGAACCGTCAGCGACGTCGCTATGACGACGCTACACTGCATGACTCAAGTGACTCATGATCCAAACTCTTGTAATTATGTGCGCCTAGTACCTATCGAACAATTTTATTTTTCCATAATCACATCTTTAGAATTAAAGGGACACATAATTAAGAAAATGTTGATTTTATGCCAGAAAAAAACCTAAAACGACTACGTTTTTCGACTCTTATTATAAATAACAAGGGCCGATCTTGGCGTAGAATACATAACGGTCTCTTTCACTCCCCTCCAATCATCGCGTTTGTTCATATGAAGTGCACAAATCTTTATGATAACATTTCCCAAAAATTGTTTTTTTTTATATAGGTCACTATAATAGACATAAAGGTGATTATGATCAAACAATTCATTGTTTGAAATCATTTAAAGGAACACAGACAATTTTCGAGGCGGGATTGTAATAATAAAAGCAACGCGTCTATTATGGACATACAGATCTTCAAAGCAAAAACATCAGTCAAAGAGAAATTTTCGAAGTGTCAATAAAAGTTCTCCGAGACTGACGAGTTTTTTATTGGAACCGTAATTCGACGATGCCAAACACGACTGCATTGATTAATCTAAACGCAACTCCTTGAGGAGCGTTTTCAATTAACAGCTACAGATTTAGACTTTAGATTTGTCACGCCCGGTGCGTGTCCAGGACTCCAATTTAGCGTTCTGTGCGGGAACGCGCACGGTCACAAGTGGAGCGCAGCTGCCGCGACGGCCAGACAACAGTTGCGCCGCGGCCACCGCGCATTTCAGATTTATTGTCAACTATTTTTTCGTATCCCCATGTCCGATTGCTCACCCTTTAATCTAAGCTAGAGTTTATTCTGATTCAAGTTAACGTCGGCCCGTCACGAAGTACAGCTGTTTCGATCGCGTCGCGTCGTGGCGCCGATAAATGCGGTTCGCTGTCACTCAGCTCGCGTAGGTTCTTTTTTCTGTCACGAAACAAAGTGATTGGTTTTCTGCATTTAACGCTTTCTTTGGTTGCTTTATCACTGAGTAAGCCTTTGGGTACTATAGTATCCCGAAATAAAAGACGGCACATCTTAGAGCAATGAAACTGATGACCAAATTCAGCTAACCTAATTAGAATTAAAATATTGCAGCTTGTTACATACAATGAAAACACAGATGAAACATGGAATTGGGTGAACAGATTGTATCATTATATATATATATCATTTAACAGACGATCAATATTCAAAATATAATCAAAAGTTTAAGATAAATATTTCATTAGAAAAATCGATCGATTTTGAAAAAAAAATCTGATATTTTTCATTTTAGCTCAGCGAATGATCTTGTGAAGATCATTCGTTGAGCTACCGGATTTCAAAAGATTTTTTTTTGGATAATTTGTGCTACCCATGCGAAGCCTAGGTGAATCGCTAGTAATATATAAAGATTTTTATTAGCTAGATTATTCGAATATTATTCGTCATACGGATAAAATTTACTGTGGTATGATCACGCAACAGTCACCGCTATAGCACGAATGAGCCGGTCCGTCCGTACTTCCCCATGTTATACTTACCACGACCTCACAGAAGACCTTTAACAGAATCCTCACAGAAGGTGGCCTGGCGCACGGGGCGCCTAGCCTGAACCTCGGAATGCTGAGTTAGGTAACCGGGGCCCACTTTTTAAAGGTTGTCAACGCATGTGCAAGCCATCGGCGGCGGCGGCGGTATTAACTTAACATCAGGTGAGCTGCCTGCTCGCTTGAAAAAAGCACATTTTACATATAAAAAAACAGAGAACAATGAACAGGTATCCTCTGTATTCACGCAACTCCACTTCAGATAAATAAACTTCACATATCGTAGACTTCGAATATATCTTTAGGATGTTTTCCTAGACGCTGAATGCTACCGACACCGAAATTTGAAATCATTTGAACTCGAGTATACTACATTATAAGCGAACGCTTGAAAACTGAGCTATCACGGTTCTGAAACCTATATAGGTAATGGAATTCTATTTAATGTTAATACTCCAACCACCTTGGTTAACGCCTGAACTTATTTTATTTAAACGTGTCGTTTTATTGGTGTAATTTAATACATAAAAAGTGAACAAGTATATTATAACTATATTGATAGCGAAATCTTGAGTGTGATTTTCGTCATGTAATTTATTGTCGGACTTAAAAACTCCCTCTGTTTATTTATAAATCAAATAAATTACAACGACTACCGGTATTTAAAAATTAAGATGACGCGAAAGCAATGAAGAAAGGTGATAATGGTGCGCATAAATTTATTTTCCGGTACGTTTTGAAATACTCCGGCGCGTCTTTGATTTAAAACGCTGTTTGATGTCAATATTCATATATTATTTAAAAGCATCAAAATTGGAATCAACTTATTGTTACATATATATAAATAGATATGACTGTTTTTCATTATAAAATTATTATCTTCATTTTTAATTAAGTTTTTAATTTTACCCAATTTAATAATTACCACAGCTGGTCCAACCATTTTATTATAGTATATGCCTTCTGCCAATGCCGTTTTCGTATAATTCCTTTATTTAATCGTAAAGCTTTCTATGACCACACTATTCTTATACCTTTTTCTTTTCTTGATTCAAGAATTACGACAGGTTAATTCCTAAATAAAATAATATTATCAGATGAAAGGATTCTCTAATGATAATAATAATTAAAAGTTTTAAAATTTTTCTTTTTATCTTTTACCTGACTGAATTCCTGTATTGCAGGACATAATATGCTTGACTCGGACCAATAAACTTGCATTGTTCGAAGAATATTTGAGGAAGAACACCGCTTCTATATTCAAATTAATAGCAAGAATTCTTTATCCGCAGATCGGTTCCTCTTCTTACAAAGAGCGACGATGTGCTAAAGCTTTTTTAGTTTCCACTTTTACTTGAACTGATGCTTTTGTTTCAATCCAACTATTAGAGCTTCAGCGAACGCAGACTCCTGGAAAAGCCAGAACCCACGAGTTTGGTTTTAGTTTTAATTTATTTGGTCCCGAGTCAATCCAAATATCGTTGCTTTGTACAAAACACTTCCACGAGGAAGTTTGCTTCGTGTCCACTTATTAACCCAACGACCAGCTGGTGTGATTTTTAAGGGAAAAACCGTCCAGATGAGCGCCGTATCTTGTGACACGAACGAAAATAATTTGACGCAGCCGCGCGTCGCGCGACATACGGGGACACGTGGCCACGATATATTACACGCGGCCCGCGGGACTAAAAATATTGTGTTGGCAAATTAATGGGCATTCCCGACGGTAGGTTGTGGGATGAAAGGAAGTGCCTTTTATATGTGAAACGTTGGTTTTGTATGAAACGCGCGGCAGCCGCTCGCACCTGTCCGCGCGTATTGGAGCGGCCGCGCCGCGGATGCGTAGGGCTGCCATTCGAGCCAGCGCGAGCGACAGATGAAGAAATGAAAGCCAGGATCCAACAGAGGTAGATCACCAGCCGGGAGACGTCCACTGTTGAACAAACGTCTCTTCATTAGGACGCACCAAAGAACAACCATTCCCCAAATAGAAGATAGATAACAACCATAAAATCCGTATCAGATTCGATACTAATTGCAAAATCTATTTGATACTGCCTATTCCGAATGTTGAAATCGTATTAAAAATTATATCATTATTACGAATAGGCAATCAAAATTTCTATTTTACTGTTTGTATGTTAATATACCTGTTCTCTGTTTTATTTTACAGAGTATATTTTTTTAGGAAGAAGTAGATCGCTTATTACGATTTTAACCCATATACAAACATAACGCCAAAGTAAATATATAATGCAGAACCATGGTACTTCCCTGTACGCTACCTATTGTTGCAACAGACGTAGCTGCAGCGTACATCTATCACAGTAAAACGAAAATAGATAAAAGAAAGCTACAGACTATTAAAAGTAACTCCACAAACCATAAAAGCAATTCCATATAGTTGAATCTTATCCTTAATAGTCTGTCATAATCTCATACTTAATGTTGCATTCCGTAAAGTTGTATTTATCCTATCCAATGGACAATTTTGCCAAACTGCAAGTTGTGTTTAATAATACTTGGTCTGAATTTTGTACACCAAATTGCTGTGTTAATTACTGAACGTATTGAGAATTTTTGTGAAACTCTTCTGATATATCTATTCAATTTCGCATACAATTCACATATAAATACATCAATTTATGATAAATGAAATGAAATTTTTAAAACAAATTCGCGCATTTCCTTGTGATTATGTCATCAACAGCACATTGTTAATTTTTTACCTGTAAGCTTTTATTTGTACACGCTTTGAACCCCTTTTAATTGAATTATGGTAATCATAACTTTATTCATATATAAATATCTTGTAAATCATTTTACTAGCGCCAGTCAACCGTTCATGGACTGAATTGAAACGCAAAAATTTTGAGTCACATTTTCAACCTGAATTATCTTTGGATTTTCTACAATGATATTAAATACAAATAAGAGGATAAGTAGATATAATACTAGCGCGCCGAAACTGAGGCACTCAAATTACGCAAATTGGTGTATTTAAATTGCAATTCTATATACTGCTATCTCTTTCCGTATCATACGTTCTATATCATTTGTCACATTCAATTAAATATGTCATATAATGTAAAGCGGCTCAATTTTTAAACACCGCGCTGTATGACATGCGTCATCTCCATTACTAAAGGTCATTGATTTTCTCAAATTTTCCTCTCACTCATTTTCCAATACGTACAGAATTAATAAGTGATGATGGCTGGTAATGCAATATTTCTATTACCTTCATAGCCTCACTGACAAATAGGATAATGATAATGTGCCTTTATTCAACACCGTAATGTAATCTTTATTCTTACCAGACGCTTTCCCTGTGCGACATCCCTACCTGCGGCGGATGCGACAAAGAAGACATGTGTCACGCCGTGCCTCAGTTTCATAATAATTGAGCAGATTAATAACTCTTGAGGGTGTTCATATTTCGCCGTCCGGCGTGCCGTGCCGTCGCCCCCATAAGTGTCCAGTCTCGTCAGCGCATAACATCGTGAAAGCTAAAAAAACCCGTAACGTGGATCGCGGCCGAATAAAATCATTTTCAACGGAATTCGAAAACGGAGGAGGATCTCGACTGTATTTTTTTTTGTTTGTTACCTCAGAACTTTCGACTGAGTGAACCGATTTTGATGATTCTCTTTTTATTTGAAAGCTGGTGCTTCCCATGTGATCCCATGTTAATTTCATTGGTATTGGATCTTGTTTTCCGGAGATACGTGGGAAACTCCCGAAAATCAATTATAAAATGAACACAGATCGAGATATTTGATGTCGGTTTTGTTAGTAAAAATAGACTGTGTTATATTTACGCAAATAGATTTCCTCGTGTCAGTCAATCGCTATTAATCGACGAGATAAAGCCATTGGTTTTTATAGTACGATTAAAGTTATACTATTATTATAATATAATATTTTTTTGTGATAAGGTGGCAAACGATCTTACCATCCACCTGATGTGAAGCGATGACCGCAACCCATAGACATTTGCAACACCGTAGGGTTGAAGATGAGTTGCCACCTTGTAATAAAGTGGGCCCCGGCCAGCTCACTCACACGTAACACTTCCACTTCACGCCAGTCTTATTTGAGGCCGTGGTACTTCTCCAGACGGAGCTGCCCATTCGTGAAGACTGTTCCGCTGCCCTACTACACTGAAAACTGTATCTATTATAATGATAATTACCTTTTCCAGAGACATGTCTGCTCTCAGTCTTTCACCAGCTCTTAAAAGTTTGGATCTCAGGTTACCTCATTCGTCAGACTAAGCATTAAAGTTTGTGCTTAATAATCGTATACCCAGTACCTAATTTACACCGCTTTTCATGAAGGCTAACCATTTCATCATGGTTCCCTTGACGAGTGAGACATTCATAAAACATCTTTGCTCTTTTAAAGTAATAGTACCTGGAGGACCGAGCTTTGCTCGTTGTTTTTTTTTTTGATAAATCATGTATTTTGGAAATAAAAAAAATTAAAAATAAGGAAAACAATGATCTGGTATAGTAAAAAAGTAAGTGTGTAAATGATCGTGATACAAACCGTGGCTGCCTGTTTTGGGGCCGCCCGATTACCGACCGAGCTATTATAACATTTTTTTTGCGGCGAAATTTACCGTCTTATTCGAATGATATTTGTCATTCCCTGCTTCGAATGATATTTTCGGATAAAAGGACATTTTCTAAAAATGAAACCTAGCTAAATCGATTTTTCGCCCCCGAATCTACGCACACACTAAATTTCATGAAAATCGCTGGAGACGATATATATACAAGAATTGCTCAAATTATCGTCTTTCAGGGACTTTTCTATAAATATTGGTCTCCCACACGAATAAGATCTCAACTATGCTCGAGAATTTTCGTTGTCCAAACGTACTTGTACATCAGTGAACGAATACTTCTTTCTATTAATTTAAAATCATATTTTTACCAAATACTATTCATCTACCATATAGAGTGTCTCAAACTGTAAACGAAAATAACAGGCATCATCGAAAAAGTACCGATGCCGGTCGGAATTAACAAAAACAGCCGGCGTTCCCAAGTGAAGCGAGCGAATAATCAAGGAGGGCGACGTGGCGCGCAGTTCTGGCGAAGGGCGGGCGGCGTCGGCGCCGGCTCAGTATAAATATGCGGCACGTGCGCGCCGGCCCAGCTGCCCAACACGTGGCCGCCTCTTTACGCGCCCGCGTAAAAATAGATCATTGTCTCGCATCTCACCGGACACGCCCACCGCACGCATAAAACCACCACATCAAACAATATAAAGGCTATGAAATCGCGCGTTTATTTGCCCAACGTCAGTATCAAAACACCTGCTCGCCGTTAAAATCGCTCCGAGCGTTCGAAATCCAGAAAACGTTCGACGCGTGCGGCGTGCGGCGTTCCCGAAAAATACAGAGTGCGTAACCCTTCTATTTTCAAATACCACGAAACGAAACACGCCGACGACGCTCTCGAAATTCGCACGTTCTACGTTTTTTAGGTGTACTTTGTGAGATAAGAATATCCCTTGATCAAAAGACAATCGAGTTTACTTCCGCAGGGAAACGCTTCCGCTGAGGAAGAGTTTTTTTTTTCATACTATTGCAACTTCCCTATTCACATGAGGACTTGACTAAGGTTAAGGAAGCTCAAGAGATCGGTGAAGGGGCCTATATAACTAAACAGTCCCTATATCTGAAATGTGAAGCATCAAAAACTATGTTTACGTAAAATATATCCTTAGCAGGAAACCAATTAATCTAAATTGTTAAATGCATGGATCGCGCTGTAGCTTAGTTCCTACTAAAATACCTCACAACTGAAATTTGTGTATTTTCATAAATAAACATTAACACATTTTTTATTGACAGACTAAATTACACGTCCTCTTAAAAATGTAGTAAACCTTAAATATTGTACCCAATCTGGGTGCAATTTGTGTCTGTAACTTCATGTTTGTTTCACTTCTTGCTGTAAAAGAAACGCCTGCAGTATCAGACACACCTTTTTAGGGTTCTGTACCCAAAGGGTAAAACGGAACCCTATTACTAAGACTCCGCTCTCTCTCTGTATGTCCGTCTGTCACCAGGCAGTAATACCTCATGAACCGCGATAGTTAGTTGAAATTTTTCACAGATGATGTATTGCTATTGCCGCTATAACAACAAACACTAAAAAAAATTATACACACAAATATTTAAGTGTACACATACTCTCATACAATAGACATGATTATTTTGCCGTTTTTATAAATAATGATACGGAAGTCCCTGTTTCGATTGTAATGCAGACGAGACAAAAAGAAATCGCGCAAGCGCTGAGATGATTTAGCTGCATGTCTTTTGGCGCGTCTATTAACGAGCTTCGAATATCATCGCGGGTGCACATCGCGATCCATTGTTTACAGTTTCAGTCAGCACTCGGCAACTGCGGCACGGCGCGACCAACGCCAAACTACAAGCCAAAATATACGCTCTCGGCCCGCTCCTTGCTCTCTTATTTTGTACGCGTTGCTATTATTAAAGGAGTCGTTAGGAAAGAAAAAAGCATTCGTTGCATACATTTAGATGTATACCAAAAGATATTTTGGATGTCAAACCGCGCTGATAGTGTATAGTGTTCATGTTAACCTTTAAACAAAACACCACGTTCAATACATCTATCATATTATTTCATTTATACAATATTTTTGATTTTCAATTAATAAAACTATAGTTTTTAATTTTTTTATAAATTAATAATTAATAATTTTATAAATTAACTATAGTTTTTGTTTATTGCATTCTTGAATGATTCCAAAGTTAATGATGAATTTGAAAATCAAAAATTTTTTTAGCTTTACAAAGGCAGTGTCTGTAGGTTCAAGGCTTATTATTTTTATTAAATCATTTTTTTTGTGATTATTCTATAGGTAGTAATAAATTTATTACAATAAGTATAGGATTGACCCTGGTAAATTTGAATTAAACTAACAATCAACCGATT